ACTAATGGTGTTTGGCGTCAAATAGTCTTTCATGTGCAACTTTTCAAGAAGCCCTGAAAGAAATCATGGCGTCAGGGCGTCAGGCAGTCGGCAGACTAATTATTTTTAGAAGGAGGGGGTGGGGGGGGGGGGGGGGGGTCGTCGCCAGCGGCCACGTGACCTGCAGAGGAAGAACAAATACGATCTGCCTGGCCGCGGAGCGTTGACCTTGATAGGGCTAATTCTCCGGGGGTGGTGACAGTGACAGGTGGCGCCCTGTAGGCGGCAACTAAGGCGGTGGGATTGGAAGTGACGGTGGCCATGACCGGCCGCGACCGCAAGGCACGGCGATGCCCGCCAGGTCACCGTGGGAGGGTGAAATGGGACCCTAGCGTCGCAGCTGTCGGGCGGCCCCAGTTGCGCGCCGTCCCCTGGGGCGACGTCCGACGCCTGTGACGGTCAGCGCCACGCCTGTGACGTCAGCCCGTGCTGATCTTGGCGCTGGGGTGCAGCGCGGAGAGCGTTTTGTAATGTTTGTTGAATCACACCGCGGAGACGAGCCGTGCGGCGGACTGGGCGGGTGGCTGCCGGTCCGGTGACCTCACCCGCAGCCCCGCTCGACGCCTGCGGACATTCGCGCTCCTTACATGCCTCGTAGAATGGTTTTGGTGCTTAAGCCTCAGTTATCACGTGTTGTGGGATGATGACCTATGAACTCACGCTTAAACAGTGAGCTAGAATGGCTTTTTGAACTAGGAGGGGAATGCAATATTCCATCGAGGAAATACCGTGCAGGTGCAAAAAAATTCAGTTCACAAAAGCTGGAACTTAATTGAGTCATTATGTCTATGAGTCATAGCTGCTATGAGGTATGAGTTATGCATAGCTAAAGGTCAGTAGAAATTTCAGAAGAGCGTAATGATCGCCAAAAACTGTCTAACGTCCACTGTTTTGATGCTGTACTTTGCACATCCCTTCCACAGGCTTTTTAACACAAAACAAAGCAAAAGAATTCAACAGCAAAAAGCCACAAGCAAAAATTCAACAAGCATAGCACATTCAAGCGTAAAAAGTCTCCGACTCCTGCACATCAACACATTCACCAAATCAAACAAACAACAACAGTCGTACTTTTGACTTCTGTTAAAATGCGGCCAGGAATACACATATTATTGGCCCTATTTTTTGGCAAATGCTATGCTATTATTTCTATAAAAATAACATAAAGAAGCTTGTCTCCATCCCATCCCTCTCTTACCTACTTGTATCACAGCAGCATTTATGAGGCACTGATTCTTGCAAAATTCCCTTACTGCTACTTACTTGCAAGTAATCAACTTCACCTATCTTAGGGCGGCGCCATGTGTTGAACATCATCTCAACTCACATATGTCTCAACAGCAGCAATTGTGATGAAAACACGACAAACTTATTTTTTGACTGATTTTAACTTGTGTACAGGGTCAGTTCATTTTGTCAGCTTGTTGACACCAGAACAAAGTTGACCACACGCAAATCAAAACTCAGAGCCAACTGAGATGGCAGAACTAAACATTAGCCATCTAAATCACTTAACAACATACTCTGATTATCATGTTTAGTCTCTGTCAAGGGCAATAACAGGTATGTTCCACAAAACAATTCTCTCGTCCAGACAGAATAGAAGTTATGGATGGCCGCAAAATCAGTTTTGTCGCTTGCCTTTTCAGTTGCAGCAAAGGCATCCCGTTATGTTTGGTAATCATATGTAATGACTTAAAGTTCGAAATGTTGGCTTCACCTTAAAAATGAGATGGTCCGAACTATTTGCTGAAGACCTATGTCTATCGCTTATTGTAATTGTTGTGCAGCGTAACATGCTTGTGTTTTTAAAAAATGAAGTGCATATACATGGTGCAACCATATGCTAATCCAGCAAAGCTTGACATCCATGGACAGCATCTTGTCGGAGCAGACACGAGGGACCACTTCAACAATTCGGGTAAAAATGATCAAGTATTATGGAAACAAAATAGTCCTAATTACAGGTCTTGTGGCATCGTAATTTATTTTACGAACAGCATTTGATAGATTAAAACAGAAAATGGTCCAAATCTAGGTGCAAATCATGTTTTGAACGCGGGTAGGGCCGGCAATTATGGGTGTCTCAAAGCAGAAATTTACTGGCTTTTTAAGGACAGGGCCTCCTTTCTGCTCCCCAAACAAAAGTCAGTATCGTTGGCATGGTTGGTTGACAGACAGGGCCATCCAACCCGCCCCGTAAAATGCTAGATGTTAATCATGCCCACCAACCTACAAGATTGAAATGCGAATAAGAAAGAGGAGCTCTGCATGAGGAAAAAGCTTCGAAGGGCAAAATTCCGCCACCAAACACCTGGATTAGCTGCACCAAGGTCTGTACCAAAGCTATGTGCATGATGATAATGTAGGGTGGTGAGGTAGTGAAACTGAAATGGCGATTTTTTCATTATTGGGGAAAGTCATGACCCAACAAAGCGGCTATCTAAGGAGTTGAAAAATGCAAAAATGTCGGTAAAAATAAACTGGTTTCAAATTGCATCCGTCATTTCCTATAGCTTGTTCACTATTGGGTGCATATTAGACATGTTTGGGGCGGCTGGTGAATTGATCCAATAGAAGTATAAAACATGTGCAAGTTTGCAGTTGGAGCATTTTGCATAGTAATTTGTTATCAGGGAATCTGGGGAAAAAATGTTATCAGAAAAAGAATTCGTGGAATAGAACTGCCTACCAGGCTTTGCTGCTGTTGGGACCAGGCTTTACTTTGTTGGCTGTGGTGTCTGCGTGTTGTGACCCGAACAATTTGGGATGCCCTGAAAACCTTGTGTTTGGCACACAGCTGGAGATTGTGATGTATTTTGTAACAAAACAAAATTGATGTATGCAAGTGGCTGGAGTCGCCGGGGCTCTCGGGCTTGGAGGTGCCTCGTGCCCTTAGTTCTGTGCATACATAGGCATGATTCAGATGTAGCTGAGGCGGGGCATAGCCATATGTTCAGGTTGTAGCCAGGTGTTCAGGTTTTTCTGAAGCCTTGTTCATGCTTGGTGGTTCCAAGTGAGTTCGGACTTGGATGACATCTTAAAACTTCTGGAAGGGAAACATGGGTTTGGTATGTGGTGGTAAGGCAATATCAGGTAGGACTGAAAATTTTGCATAGAATATGCAGAAAAGGAGAAAAAAATCCTCATAAGGTGTTCCTTTACACCCAAAGTAGGCACTTCTAGGACACTGAATGCAAAGGTCTAATGCTGCTCCTTCAGCAACTTATCCCGTATTTGTGCGCATATGCTTGTGACATCAGGTTTACGCCCCATCCCCTTCCTGTCAGGGTCTGGAGGCGCTCCGGAACGACCACAACTCGATCCTGAACGGGCTGATGGGCTCGATGAAGGCCAGCGAGCAGCGCTCCGAGCTGGTCGAGGAGAAGGCCGGGCCTCATCCAGAAGAGCCTGGAACACCATCGAGCTGGGGCTGGGCGAGGCGCAGGGTCAGCTGGTGTGACCGCTCGGTCACCGCCGGCGGCTGCCCGCAAGCGGCAACTCGCTCGGCTCCCGGGGCGCCACTGTGTCGGGCAAAAACCGCCGTGGCTGTTTATGGATTTTGGTTGATCAGCGGGTACTGTGGTGTGGCGCGGTGCCTGCTCACGAGATGGCAGCAGCGTCGGGGCCAGGCTTGTGAAGTCGCCTTTGCGGATCAGCTGGCAGACTTTGGGAGTCTTGGGGAGCGTCTGCGCCGGCGCGGGCCGAGCGCTGGGCACGGGACTGTATCTGGTTGCCGATGGCCAGGAATGGCACACATGAGCTGCCTTAAAATGCGACTATAGTCCTGGTTGCCGACCGCAGTTGCTCGCCCGCCGTTCTCACCGCGCCGCTCGGCTGCAGGTGATGTGGCGCTAGCGTCACACCTGCAGGGAGTCGAGGCCGAAAAACAGAAGCTGCGCGCCCAGGTGCGACCGTCTGTGCCAGGTAACGTAATAGCCGTCACTGCAAGGCTCTCCTTCGCCGGGCGCGGCTGTGTGGTTGCACGCCCTGGTGCCAAGGAGTCGCAGTCTTGTCACATCCGCCGATGTTCTGTCGGTCAGCAATGGGCGAGACATGACTGTGTAGTGGACCGAAGTTAGACCCAGATCAGCATCAGTCTCCTCATTCTTTTGCTTTAAATCCCGCGCATGACTTCCGTTTCTCATTACGAACTAATCATCGGCTGGCAAACGAAGATGCAGATTATGGCCGGACAGATCCCATTCTAAACGCAAGGCTATCTGAGCTTGTGTACTGGATATCGGGCTCCAGTTGCCTACCAGCTGCGTAGTGGAGGTCGGCCACAAGGCTTGTGATGCGATCTTCTCGTCCAAGGGAGGACTCACGACGTTGATCGGGGCGGCAGGGTGTGCCACCCGCCGAGTGTTGGTCCAGTCGCGTGATGTCGAGGCGACCCATATCATAGCATTCATGCCTCTTATAAAGAGACCATCGCCTCATCACGCCACGCGTGCAGTTCCAATCATATCAGTCACGCCACACGGCAGGCGCAGCCACCGGCAAGGCTATGCCCGGAGACCAAGTCGTGTGAGTCGCGCTGTGTTCCGATAGTCATTCGCATGCCTCGCACCGAAGATGCAGCCGCCACTGATGTCACCCTACCTGATGTCAGCAGCAGCGTCACACATAAATGTCAGCGGCTGCGTCACCCAATGATGTCCGGTGGCCCGAGTCCGGCGCTGCTGCAGAACGCAGCCGCCTAAGTCAGGCCGTGCCCGGGACAGAGCCTGGGAGGCATCCGCTGCAGGGGGCAGCCTCCTCTTGGCTCGTCCGCGCTGGCCCCTCCCTCTCCGTGTGTGTGTGTGTGTGTGTGTGTGTGACGTCACGCTGTCGCGTCGCAGGAGAACGCCTGGCTGCGGGACGAGCTGGCCAACACCCAGCAGAAGCTGCAGGCTTCCGAGCAGCAGGTGGCCCAGCTAGAGGAGGACAAGAAGCAGCTGGAGTTCTTCAAACTCCATCAAGAAGTATGACCAGGACAGCCAGGTACAGGTCAGCAACATGGGGCCTAGCTCGGGTAGGGGTGGTGCAGGCCTCCATCCGCCGCTAGACTGTGCCCGTCAGCCGCCTGTCTGACAGACGGACGGAGACTGGAATACCCGTCGGCCGCCTGTCGGACAGACGGACGGAGACTGGATACCCGTCGGCCGCCTGTCGGACAGACGGACGGAGACTGGATACCCGTCGGCCGCCTGTCTGACAGACGGACGGAGACTGGATACCCGTCGGCCGCCTGTCGGACAGACGGACGGAGACTGGATACCCGTCGGCCGCCTGTCGGACAGACGGACGGAGACTGGATACCCGTCGGCCGCCTGTCGACAGACGGACGGAGGCTGGATACCCGTCGGCCGCCTGTCGGACAGACGGACGGAGGCTGGATACCCGTCGGCCGCCTGTCTGACAGACGGACGGAGACTGGATACCCGTCGGCCGCTGTCGGACAGACGACGGAGACTGGATACCCGTCGGCCGTCTGTCTGACAGATAGACGAGACTGGATACCCGTCGGCCCTGTCGGACAGACGGACCGACACTGGATACCGTCGGCCGCCTGTCGACGACGACGGAGACTGGATACCCGTCGGCCGCCTGTCTGACAGACGGACAGAGACTGGATGCCCGTCGGCCGTCTGTCGGACAGACAGACGGAGACTGGATACCCGTCGGGCCGCCTTGTCTGACAGATAGACGGAGACTGGATACCCGTCGGCTGCCTGGCGGACAGACAGACCGGAGACTGGATACCCGTCGGCCGTCTGTCTGACAGATAGACGGAGACTGATACCCGTCGGCCGCCTGTCGGACAGACGGACCGACACTGGATACCTGTCAGCCGCCTGTCGGACAGACGGACGGAGACTGGATCCAGACGGACTCGGCCAGTTGTTCAAGAATCGGTCGACCAACGCCAGGCACCACGTGCATGCCAGAGGCGGCGGGTGGCATTAATGTTTAACTGGCCGCATGCTCAGGCCGCGGATGGGCCAGATCTACTATTGATTAGTGGACCCAGGCTGGCTGGCGGCTCAGTAAAAATGAATCCCCGAACGCTTTAAATGATGGCTCGTTCCGACTGGAGTGGATATTCGTTTTGGAGCCGTGGCTCGCGCGTTGGTTACGTTCCAAATGCTAAGCGAGGCAGGTTGATGGGCTGGACGTGCCAGCATCCATATTTATGGTATTTAAGGGGAGTATGTTGCGCGAGGTACGATGACGCAATCAAACAATGACGTAGTTGGGAGCCTTTTTACTAAAAAAAGATTGTGTTGTCTAGAGCAGTCTTTTTCCTTTAAAAGTATATCAGTAGATACAAGGGAGCTTATCACATCTGATGCTTGCTTCAATATCTTTATATTTGGAACATGACGTTTAAGGCGGTGAAGGTCGTAAGACAAAAGAATGACTGATTCACAAGTAGTTTTCGTTGTACATCTTGACACTTTGTGAGGAAGTCATACAGAGGGTCTACTGTGATGTGGTTGTGAAACCAGACATCGCTTCTTCCATGAACTTATGACATGTGTCAGAATCGGGATGGAGCCCTCGACCCGACCAGGGGCGGCGGTGTGACGCCAGCCGGCCCCGCCCATGGGAACACGCCACGCCCACTGCAGCCGACGCCGGTGCCTGTCACCGTTCGCAGAACGCCGAGAGCATGTCGGAGTCCACCGCCGAGTCTATGGAGAAGTCGGCCAACCCGGTCGTCGACCTGTTCCCGGACGAGGGCGACGAGCGGGGCGGCATGTCGCCCACGCCGCCCTCCCAGTTCGCGCAGCAGGTCAACGCCGGCTACGAGATCCCAGCCCGGCTGCGCACGCTCCACAACCTGGTCATCCAGTACGCCTCGCAGGGCAGGTCAGTCAGCCCCGCACGCTCCTTAACCTGGTCATCCAGTACGCCCTTGGTCAGTCAGCCCCGCACGCTCCACAACCTGGTCATCCAGTACGCCTTGGTCAGTCAGCCCCGCACGCTCCACAACCTGGTCATCCAGTACGCCTTGGTCAGTCAGCCCCGCATGCTCCACAACCTGGTCATCCAGTACGCCTTGGTCAGTCAACCCCGCACGCTCCACAACCTGGTCATCCAGTACGCCTTGCAGGGCAGGTCAGTCAGCCCGCACGCTCGACAACTTGGTCATCCAGCCGGGGTCCGAAGTCTGTTAAAAAAAAATGGTTCTCCGATATTGACCTGGTTTTAGATTGGTTTTAAATTATCGTTTAAAATAACCTTTTTGCTAAATTTACCACGATGTCTTGCTTGGCCTGTGTCCTGACGCATCCGTGCTGTGCAGCTGGTTGTTTGATTCAATACGGCGCTCAGCCAGCCTTTTCATCGCTGGGAAGATTGATTCATGTACTTTTGTTGCGGGCGTATGCGTGCCAATGCAGTCATACATTCAGTGACCGTCTCAGGGCGCTGAACTTGTGCCGAGTTACGTCTATGTTCGTCATATTTGCCACATTACCATTTTCGCGATGGCCGTCTCTATGTCGGTGCCACCAGCGTGCATGGACACATGCTAAAAAGCTAAGCGTTGAACTGCTGCGGCTCGAACGCCGATGTCTGGAGAGGTTCTCCTTCGTACCGGCTGAAGTCCTGATACTGCATTTGCACTGTGACCACGGGCTGCCAGTTGCCTTCTTGTATTTCTTCTACTGTGAGGGCGAACTGGTGTGACGGTGTTTGTCCGCGTGCGTGCGGCAGGTACGAGGTGGCGGTGCCGCTGTGTAAGCAGGCGCTGGAGGACCTGGAGAAGACCAGCGGTCACGACCACCCGGACGTGGCCACCATGCTCAACATCCTGGCGCTGGTCTACAGGTGAGCTTAGGGACCGCGGCCGCGCCGGTCCGGTCGGCCGGCTGAGGGACCGCCGCCACGCCGGTCCGGTCGTCCGGCTGAGGGGACCGCCGCAGCGCAGGTCCGGTCGGGCGACTCGACCCTCAGTTTGCGGACACGCGTGTCTCGAGTACAGCAGGCTGTGAGCTGGACGCGGCGCCTATCACGTCAGGTTTTACATGCGGCATTTGAGACGTGTTCTGTTTATTGTGACAGCCCGCTGATTTCCACTGATTACTGTATTTCCACGATTGCAGCAATATTTCATTCTCCATTCGCTAAAATAGTCGCGACAAACGTGTTAACATACCCGTAAAAGCTTGGTTGTAAACCCAACTGTTGTAGTCATGTCGGTAGGTATTGCTGAAATAAGGCAAAAACTTGACATGCATCCCAACGCAATAAAGGCTTGGCTATAAGCGCTGCTTGTGCTGTCACTCGTTCAGGTCAAGCAAATATATTCGAACATAAGGAAAATATGTGTTCGGAGTATTGATGGCTGACTGTTACCATTGTGAAACCATTAAAACGTGTCGGAAAATTTTTGGTGTGCGAGATATGACAGGCGTAGCTTGCTGGTCGTTTCCACTGCCATTCAAATCTCAAGGCACCCTTGACCATGGCAAGTGACAGACTTTGCCTGTTTACCGATATTTCGCCTGCTTGTGTAGCACGTAAGGTGTGGCCATCAATGCAGCATATATACTGCGCAGCACACGTTATTTTACATTCATATGGGGATTTAAATGTCTGCATCGGTTGTCTTAATGATACAGTAGCGTCTCGGGTTGCATGTACGATTACGATAATACGAATTTAACGTTGACGAAAATAACGCAGGTCTTCAGCGTCGGCATGTAATTGTATACATTAAGTCCATATTATAGTACCACTCGATGACGAATTCGGTTAATAAAGCGCGACCGTTCTTAAATGCATCATTTGCGTAATCATGTCCTTGTGCACCGCTGCGTCAAATTCATTATTTCTCAAGGCATCGTGCCAATGCAAAATGTCTTAATAGTCGGTGCGCTATAAACCCCAGTTATGTCAAACTGGGATGTTCGTGGGTAGAGCGGCTTACGACCTGCCCAATGTGAAACTCAATCAGTGCACGACATGCAATGACATGGGGGCTTGCAGGTCGTCATGACTTGTTTTCCAGTTCAGTCTGGTCACGATTCTTACTCTGGAGTTAAGTTTTACCTATTTAAAACTTTATTGGACAAGGTTTAATTCATCCACGAGCTTGGGGTTCATTGCTTACCATGCTGACCAATCTTGATGCATGTGATCTAAGCACCATCAGCTTGCATGTACTTCTGTGTGCATCAGATATGATGTTGGCCCTGAATTTCCCACATGAAGTGAGGTTTACAAAGGAGGTCCTAACTGTTAACTTCATTTAAACCACGGTGTTGTCACAACCCACCTTTAATTGGTTAATACTTCATTGATAAAGGTGTGCTGCAGATTTGACATGCTTGCTTTCATTAGAGACATTGCATTGCGTTATGTAATGGTTTGTTCTTTTGGGTCAAAACTGGGAACTTCGAAAATGTATTGTGTTATCTTTTGAGACACCGTTTGGGCAGGGCCGGCTTTGTCTTTGGACATGCGGTGCTCAATTTTGACCCGGCGCCCCTCCGGCGGGCCCAAAACATTGCACATCTTGTGCCTGGTGCTGCCATGACGGACGCCTGGCGCCGGACGTAGCTGGCCGTTCACGCCAAGCCCCGACGATTGTCACCAGCGATGCTTGTGCCCCGGCCGAGGCCTGGGAGAAGGGGACGCTGGTCTCAGGTCGCGCACAGCCACCTGTGTTCCCGGCTGTGGCCCGCGGAGCCGTCGTTCGGTACGCAGTGTCGCCATGTACCCCCGGCCGTCGGCATGGGTCTACGGCCGCAGTTCATGTACAGCAGTGTGTATGTGTGTAGGCTGCATCGTCCTGGAGCGTCACATGGCTGGCTTCGGTGTTTTTTGCAGAGATCAAAACAAATACAAGGAGGCGGCCAACCTGCTGAACGACGCCCTGGCTATCCGCGAGAAGACGCTGGGGGAGGATCACCCCGCGGTGCGTCTGCCCTCGGGCCGTTATACGGCTCGTGCTGCTCTGCCGGCTTAACATTGCGTGTTGCCTTGAAGCGCCTCAGTGGGTGTGTCATTGATGCTTCCGTCCTCGGATGCTACGGTGATTCATAAAAACAACAAAGGTAATGAGGTGTGGTAGCAAGTAACCCGCGTGAAGGTCGGACCGGGGACGATGTGGCGCCGCCAGGAATTCTGTGGCTGCAAGTACACACAAGTCGTTTTCAGCCCACAAAGAAAAACATGACCAGCTTTGGGTATGTTGGTAGAGTTGGCGCTTGTTTAGCACGTGGCTGTGGCTGTTGTGCTGGTGGCAGTGGCAGGTGTCGCCTGACGTCATCCGCTGCCTGCCGCCAGGTGGCCGCCACGCTGAACAACCTGGCGGTGCTGTACGGCAAGCGAGGCAAGTACAAGGATGCCGAGCCGCTCTGTAAGCGGGCGCTGGAGATCCGAGAGAAGGTACTGGGACGCGACCACCCGGACGTGGCCAAGCAGCTCAACAACCTGGCACTGCTCTGCCAGAACCAGGTGAGATGTCCGGCGCTGGGCGGGCGGCGTCAGCCAAGTGTCGCGACCATCAGCAGCAGGCTCAATGCCGGCTGTCGGGGCTCCCTGCCCGGCCAGTGCCGGCAGCAGCACGCTCAGATACCGGCTGTCGGGGCTCCCTGCCTGGCCAGTGCCGGCAGCAGCAGGCTCAGATGCCGCTGTCGGGACTCCCTGCCGGCCAGTGCCGGCAGCAGCAGGCTCAGATGCCGGCTGTCGGGACTCCCTGCCCGGCCAGTGCCGGCAGCAGCACGCTCAGATGCCGGCTGTCGGGGCTCCCTGCCCGGCCAGTGCCGGCAGCAGCAGGCTCAGATGCCGGCTGTCGGGACTCCCTGCCCGGCCAGTGCCGGCAGCAGCACGCTCAGATGCCGGCTGTCGGGACTCCCTGCCCGGCCAGTGCCGGCAGCAGCAGGCTCAGATGCCGGCTGTCGGGACTCCCTGCCCGGCCAGTGCCGGCAGCAGCAGGCTCAGATGCCGGCTGTCGGGGCTCCCTGCCCGGCCAGTGCGGGCAGCAGCAGGTTCAGGTGCCGGCTGTCGGGGCTCCCTGCCCGGCCAGTGCCGGCAGCAGCAGGCTCAGATGCCGGCTGTCGGGACTCCCTGCCCGGCCAGTGCCGGCAGCAGCAGGCTCAGATGCCGGCTGTGGGGGCTCCCTGCCCGGTCAGTGCCGGTAGCAGCACGCTCAGATGCCGGCAGCAGCACGCTCAGATGCCGGCTGTGGGGGCTCTCTGAGTATGTGTCCTAGGCTATGGGTGCGGATGCGATTTCACATAGCCAATGAAATGGAATGTCACTACTTCATGATGATGGGCGTCGCCAGCTGATCAGTCAGGTGACACGGCATCTGGTTAAGACAGAAGTAATTGCTGTACTTCTTGTAGAAAAACCAGGAGAATGGAGATATAGATGCGTTGATATTTCGGCAGCATATCGAAACGAAGAGCAGAAGTTTATCTAATCGCACTTCTGCTATTCGTTTCGGTAAAGGCTTGTTGCCGAAATATCAATGCATCTATATCTCCATTCTCCTGTTTCTTTTTCTTCGAGGAATAAGGCCATTGCTACCTTCTGATCTATGTGCATAATGTTCCTCGCAAATGCACTTAACAACAAACGTAATTTTGGCGCGGCATCTGTGGGAATCGGTCGACTGGCGACGTGCTCGTCGACCACTGCATCTGTTGGTGTAAGAGTTGCCTGTACTGCCTCCCTTGTGGCTGTGTGGGTGCCAGCTCGTGTGAGGCAGATAGTGGGGGACCGGCAGTCGGGAGGGCGGCTGGCAGTCTGCGTGGGTGCTAGCTCGTGTGAGGCAGATAGTGGGGGGCCGTCTGTCGGGAGGGCGGCTGGCAGTCTGCGTGGATGCCAGCTCGTGTGAGGCAGATAGTGGGAGACCGGCAGTCGGGAGGGCGGCTGGCAGTCTACGTGGATACCAGCTCGTGTGAGGCAGACAGTGTGGGAGCGGCAGTTGACGGGCGTGTCTCTCAGCTGGCGACTGCCCTGCCCTCAGGGCAAGTACGAGGAGGTGGAGCGCTACTACCAGCGCGCGCTGGAGATATACGAGACCAAACTGGGACCGGACGACTCTAACGTGGCCAAGACCAAGAACAACCTGGCATCGGCCTACCTCAAGCAGGGCAAATACAAGGAGGCGGAGGTGCTCTACAAGGAGGTGCTGGACCGGGCGCACGTGCAGGAGTTCGGCTCTATCGGAGGTGCGTGGCCAGTGATTAGGCTGGTGGAGTGCGTGATGGCTTGTAATGTTATGTCAGTTGGCAGTGCTCCGAGTCACGTTTCGAGTGGTTGAGCGCCGTTTTTAGGAGGCAGTACCCTGCACGTGCGGCACGTGCGTATCTTTGCCTCCAACCGCGCGGCGCTTCGTCGGCCTCCCAATGCTCCAGTGCTGGGTTGTTCTGTCGCCGTCATGCTGTTAATGTCGCGAGCGATTGGAGATCACGCGGGCTCGCTACAATAATGTGTTTAATCATGTGCTTTGGAGTGCGCCTGTCCTGACCGCCTGCCTGTGCGGTGTTGCGGCCGTACGGCGCCGTCGGCGGAGCTGCCGGCGCGTGCCCCGCGGTGCCCACCTGACGGCTCGCCTCTCTCGGCAGGCGACAGCAAGCCGATTTGGCAGGTGGCTGAGGAGCGCGAGGAGAACAAGAGCAAGAACAAGGACAACGCTCCGTACGGCGAGTACGGCGGCTGGCACAAGGCGGCCAAGGTGGACTCGCCCACTGTAACCACCACCCTCAAGGTAGGTGGGCTCGCTCGCCGTAGTGTGCGAGGGCGCACCCGCCGGCCGGCTGTGTCGTGCTGGCTGGCCGGCACCACACGCACGTCTCCGGTGCGCGGTCTGGCGGCCGCGCGCAGCAGCGGAGCACACGGCTGTGCTGCGGCACTGTCGCGCCGTAGCAGCTCCGGCCCCGGGTATTCGTGACCAGACACCGGCAGGCTGTGGCGCCAATCACTGACTGCTCCGCACACGCGGTGACGGGCACTGACCATGTTCAATGTAGCTCGCTTGCCGTGTAATGAATAACTGTTGACCTGGAGTGCCGTCAAGAGACCAGCTGCCGACGGACGAGGCCGTGCCTCGTGGGGCTCCGGCCGCGCTCGCAGGCTGCGTGCTAACTCGGCCTGCGAGCGCCGCAGCTCTCGGCAGCCGGCCGGCACTGCCATGTGTATGCGGAGCCGTCGTTGCGGGCGCACGGACGGGGCGGCGGGTCACTCAGCTTTCGGGGCGTGGCGGGTGACTGGTGACGGCTGTTCGCAGAACTTGGGCGCTCTGTATCGACGCCAGGGCAAGTACGAGGCGGCTGAGACGCTGGAGGACTGCGCCATGAGGTCACGCAAGGAGGTGGGTCTCTCTCTCTCTCTCTCTCTCTCTCTCCTCTCTCTCTCTCTCTCTCTCTCTCTCTCTCTCTCTCTCTCTCTCTCTCTCTCTCTCTCTCTCTCTCTCTCTCCTCTCTCTCTCTCTCTCTCTCTCTCTCTCTCTCTCTCTCTCTCTCTCTCTCTCTCTCTCTCTCTCTCTCTCTCTCTCTCTCTCTCTCTCTCTCTCTCTCTCTCTCTCTCTCTCTCTCTCTCTCTCTCTCTCTCTCCTCTCTCTCTCTCTCTCTCTCTCTCTCTCTCTCTCTCTCTCTCTCTCTCTCTCTCTCTCTCTCTCCTCTCTCTCTCTCTCTCTCTCTCTCTCTCTCTCTCTCTCTCTCTCTCTCTCTCTCTCTCTCTCTCTCTCTCTCTCTCTATCTCTCTCTCTCTCTCTCTCTCTCTCTCTCTCTCTCTCTCTCTCTCTCGCTCTCTCGCTCTCTCGCTCTCTCGCTCTCTCGCTCTCTCGCTCTCTCGCTCTTTCCACTGCCGCCGCTCTCTCTCTGTCTTGCCGTCACGCTGTCTGGCTGGGTCTGTCTGTTTGTCTGGCCGCGTGGCTGGGGCTCCGTCTGTCTGCCGGTGGCGTCTGTCTGCTGGGCTCTCCTCCACACCGGTCCCTTCGCCGACGCCCGTGCGGCCGGAGCGCCGCTCGGCCGCGCTCGACTCCTCCGGGCCTACCCCAGGTGTGGTGTTCAGCGCACGCGCCGAGCGCCATCTGCATGTGGACCGGGAGCGGTTCAAACAGAGCGCCACGCCCGGGCGGGCCCAAAGTGGTGCTAATAAGAGGCCGAAACGAGGCTGGTTGGTGTAGTTGGTGGTTTTGGGAATGTTTGCTCGCTGCCTGGTAGCATTAACGGTGGACGTTACTCGCAGCTGGTCTGGTCGAGATGAGCAGGCGCTCTGTGGCTGAGATGATTCATGACAGGCAATTTGCTGGGATGATCGATACACAGTTTGCTGCGATATCGTCAGTTTGTTGCGTATTTGTTGTTTTGCAACACATCCTTCTCTCATGGCTTTATTTTCGGTGTAGTTCGTGTACTATAATCAATTTTACGTAGCATGAAATCAGCGCTGTCTTTCGCTAACCTACCTTAATCTGCGTGGTATTTTGCCAGTAGCATAGCCATTGGCTTCGAGAAAAGCACATCGGGAAAAAGCGCGACTCTTTCGCTCTTATAAATGCTCGGAGTAGCAGGGCATGGCCGTCCGATTGTCGAGACGACCGCCAAACTCAGACCCGTTTTTCACGCAGGACACTGAGAAAGCGATTTTGGTGAGTGTAGTCGGTAGCGGGCGGCGTGCGCGTGAACGGCGTACGGCCGCCTGCTGCGCGCCTCTCGCCGGGCGTGGCGCAGCACCGCCGTCTGTTCACTCCACCCTGCAGCGCGTGCCGCGCCACCGACGCTGTCGCCCGTCGACAGACGCCGAGCACGCTTGGCCGCTGCAGCTTTTGATGTGGCACACGGGGGTCGGGCGGTGAGCGAGGGGAATGGGCGTGCCCCGGCGGCCCCGCGGCGGGGCGGCGGCGCGCGGCGTGTGCTAGAGCCGGCGGCCAGCCTGTGCCTTGTCCGGCAGTACGGCCTCGACCTGGTGAAGCAGGGCCGCGTGCACCAGCTGCTGAGCGGCGGCGGGGCGGCCGGCGAGGCGGCCGGCGGGCGGCGCCGCTCCGGCCGACACGCCAGCCGCGAGAGCCTCGACGCCGTCCACCACGAGCCCGCCGACGAGGTGGTGACCACCGCACGCCGACCGACGCGTGCACTAGCGCGCGCGCACACACAGACACACACGCACGCGCACGCACAAACACGTACACACACGCACACGCACACGCGTGCACACGCACACGCGTGCACACGCACGCACAAACACGTGCACACACGTACACACACGTACGCACACGCACACACGCGCGCGCACACACGCGCACACACGCACACACACGCACACACGCACACAACACACACACACACACACACACACACACACACACACACACACACACACACACACACACACACACACACACACACACACACACACACACACACACACACACGCACACACACACACATACACACATGCACACATACACACACACACACACACACACACACACACCACACACACCACACACACACACACACACACACACACACACACACACACACACACACACACACACACACACACACACACACACACACACACACACACACACACACACACACACACCGCCCTCCTCGCCACCGACGCGTCACACATGGCAGTCACCGGAGGAGGCGCACCGCGCGCGCAGGTCCTCCCTCGGGGACGCGTGTGCGGGACAGAGCCGCGTAACAGCTGTCACACGCACCTACGCCACACTTGTGCGGGTCGTCGAGCGCAGCACACCACTGAACCACACCACGGCCCCGTACCGCAAACCGTTGCCATCAGCGCTGGTCTTACGACGTGGTCGGCGGACATTCGCAGCAGAGTTCGCATACCACGAATGCGGGCGTCCGATTGCTCTTGTGTCAGTCTAGAGAGCCCGGACCGGTCATGAGCTAGGCGCGTTACGTACGGCGCGGAATCTGCACCCGCCGGCGGCCGCGGCCAAGCGTGGTCCTGGGCGCTGTGTTGTAGAGCTCCGATGTGGCGGCGCGGCCGAGGCGCGCCGGTTCGAGTGCTTTCTCCGTTGAGTTGGTCACGGCGGCCGTGTTCGATGTTCGCATGCGCGGACCGGCCCCCCGTGTGGGGCGTTGTGTGGGGTGGGGTGCGGTGCGGCGGGGCAGCTCACAGCCAGCATGCCGTTCACCCGGTCGTTCTCCTCCCCCCCCCCCCCCCCCCCCCCCCCCCGTCCTCTCCCCCGCCCTTTCTCCGTCTCGCTCTGTGTAGACTCCGTCCGTCGCTGTGTCTGTCACGGGCTCTGGCTGTGTGGGCTCTCCGTCTCGGCCTCTGCCTCTATCTGGTGTCGTGTTTCGGTTGCACGCGTGCTCGCCGCTCCTTCGTATAGCATGGTGCAGCCCCGTCGGCCCGGCAGCCGCGCGCGCAGTCGCCACGTAAGTACGGCGGGGTCCGCCGGTTGCCGCCGGCGGCGACGGCGCCCGGCGCCCGGCGCCCGGCCAGCCCCTCGGCGCGGCACGGGCTCCCGGCCGACAGGCCCCGTACCGGCACGGAAGGCGGTCGCCGCTCAAGCGCCATCGAAGACGGACATTTGTTTGCCCATGCTCAGTCAGGCAGTGGACAACAGCGCCTCTTCTGCCAAGCTGGACAAAGTGATCCTATTTATGTTTTGTCCCGTTTTGTTTCTAGTTCAGTAACTTTCGTCACAATGCATTACTAAAACATTGTTTACAACGATGGTCCATTTTTTGTCCTTGTGACGACGGTCTATTTTCCTCTCCCTGTAGTCATCCACCATGGACCCCGGCGGCTTGACTAACGGCTGTTGAGCGGCGGGCCCGGTGCGGCGGCGGGCGAGCACGGGGGCGCGTGCGGTGCGGCCGGCCTGCCCTGTCTGACGTCACCACTCCTCCCACAGCCGGGCGCGGCGCCCGAGGGCGCGCGCGCCGCCGCCGCCGCCGACGACGCCCGCCAGGCGGCCGGACTAAAAACAAAGCTGTTCCACGCGCTGGGGCTGCAGTCGTGAGGCTGGCGTCGGCCGCGGACTAGCGCAGTGGCTGGACAGACAGACAGACGGCGGCGGGCGCGCCCCTCTGCTGCAGACGAGTGTACATACGTAGCGCGCGACCCGGGCGGCGGGGAGGGAGGCGGTCAGAGGGCGGCTTCCGAATCTGTGCTGTGATAGCGGCCGGGCGCGCGGACGCCCCCCGACCAGCGCGGACCGGACCGGACCGGACCCCCGCGCTGCACGGCCGCTGGCCGGCCGCCCCGGCTCGCCGGCCGGCCGGCGTGGCCGTATTTATGTATCTGGCGTGACGGTACGGCTGCTGTAGTATTTTTTACGTTGTGCTGCTCGGCGCACCGCGTGTGGCGGCTACTGCTGACCGCAGCGACGATCATCGGCGCCGACCTGGCCACCACCCGCCCGCCCGTACTTAGTGCGAGTTTGGTTTTGTTTGTCGGCGCAGACGGTGGACACCTTATTTATGTATGGCTGCGCAAGCCCGGCCCACTGTTCATTGCCAATAAAAAGCTCTATGATTATTTTCGTCCTTTTGTTCAGTTGTAGCGAACGCGTGCGGTGTTGTGTTCGGCGACCTCCGCGCGTGGCTGTGCTCTTGGTGCGGGCGGCGCCGTCCTGCTGCTGTTTGGGTGCGGACCCGCATGCTTGTGCCCGCCGACCAGCGTCCGCCGCCAGCTGCGGCCCGCTCTCTTACATTCTATCTCTCTCTGTCTCTCCCTCGCCTTCCCGTCCGCAGCATGCTTCGGCCGCCGCCGCCGCTGACCGCCGTGACCTCGCTGGGAGGCCGTTGGGAGCGACCCCCCCGCGACGAAGCCTCTTCCTACAACCGGCTGGGGGCCCTGCTGGCGGGAGGATCCCCTCCGCGACGAAACCTCACCCTGGAACCAGCCGACAGAAGGGCTTCCTCCCCGGTGAAGCCCAGTCTGCGACCGACTGCGAACTGTGGCAGTGGGAGGGGCCCCTTCACAGCCCCGTCCCCGGGTACCTCCCCCCCCCCCTCCCCCTAGGCGCCGGTTGACAGGGAACTTTTGGCCGGGGTTCTTGGGACGTCGAAGTCGAATGTGACCGTTTGACGTGCGATCTTCCGCCATCCAGGCGAGAGACGTCGGCGTGGCTGGGGTCAAATATGGTCGAAAGTCAGCTTGAAGGCGCAACAAGACACTCACGTTTAGTGCGTCGGATAAAGTATGGCTACAGAACTCCCCGAGGGCTGTGCTTTGTGTGTTGAATGCTGAAGTTTTCCTTTTGTCAAAGCTTTACCCCAGGGGGGCAGAATGACCCCGGCTGTCGATGCGTCCTAAATCCCCAGTCATCAGTATCGGAGCTTTACCCTTAATGGAAAGCTTTATGCTTCTTTCAAGTACCTACGGCCGCGTCGCCAGTTGTGAATGGAACTGGAGCTGACGCTGGCGGGCGTGAATTGCTGGGGCGGTCGGGGGGAACTGGGCTGCGGTGGGCCGGGCTGGTCTGGCTGGGGTGCAAACACTCCCCGACGCTGCTGGCCGACCGCCGTGTGACCCATCCTTCGCCTGATCATCGATCTCGGGACAAACGGAACCGGCCGGTGCCGTGACGACCAGCGCCCCGCCGGCGCCGCGCCGCTGCATGCCGCATTTGTCGCCAGTCGCTGCTGCCAACTAACGCGGCGAAACGGCCCGTTTTCGCCCCACTTCTAGCCAGGCCGCATCCGCCGATCAGGCTCGCTGACAAAACTGCGCGCCTCCATCCGCCGCTCCTCGGCCAAACTCGTCGACCGGATCAAGGGTCGGGCCGACGAGAGCAGGTGAGCCGCCCAGGAGGTCGGGTCAGGCCAGGTCAGGTCAGACGGGCGGCGCCGCTGCGGGCGCTCGGGCCGGGTAAGTGGCCTGCCGGGTGTCGATCGGCGGCGCCGTTGCGGCGCTCGGGGCCGGGTAAGTGGCCTGCCGGCCGCCGATCGGCGGCGCCGGCAGTTTTAGTGGCTTGGCTTGATTCACCGCATGCCTCACATTCTCCGCCCTGAGTCGGCGCCACGGTTTGGCTCCTTTCCGTCGGGTTAGTGCGGGTGCCGCTGAGCTGTGCGCCGTGCCTCACCGCCGAGCCGGACCACGGACCACTGACCGCTGACACTGTGCTCCTGTCTGGTTTCAGCATGAAAAGGGCAAAGTCAATGTCCGTTCTTAGTAACGCGGAGGTGAGTGACCTGGTTTGTCATCCAGTGGTACGTATTGCGTTGTTTGACACAGACTTGCGTGCTCTTTGTGCTCTAGGTTTGCTAAAATCTGTGTGTTGTTATAGTTTGAAGACGCTACGTTGTGTCAATATAGCGGAAAGGTATCACCTGGCGTGCAACGCATCGCTATCGCTAACGTCTCAGATACAACTGTCCTCATCACCGCTGAACGGGTTAGTCGTGCATTGGCGTTTTATGGCGCGCTGACTGCAATGATCATTTCTGAACGGCTCGGCAAAGGATTCGGATCATATCACACGAGCCGTTGTGACGATCTACTTGCAGGTACATGCGGGGCTTGCTGATACTGCTCCTGTTTTCAGACTAGCGAGCCGCGCCCCCCTTCTTGTGGCTTCGCTCGGACCACCAGCACTGAGCACATCAGAACCACCACGTCGTAAGCTTCGCTGGCCGGCCGCCAGGGTGCCGGCGCCCAGCGGCGGGCGTGCTCTGGCCGTCACAGAGAGACGCTGTCGCTGCGCCGTTGGCCGCCGCCGCCGACACCCCCGCACGCGCGACTGCCTGCGCTAGCGGCGCGTGCTTCGATTCTGAACTGTGATGTCTGCTCGGCGTGCGGGATGGCGTGGCGGTTTGGTCGGTCGTTTTGGGCTGCCGTTCGGCGCGCCGGCTTGGCGGCGGGCGACCACGACCCGGTGCCTCCTGTTTATCTCGCGTGGCGGCCGGTCGCGCTGTTGTTTTCTTGGTTTGCGAATGGCCGGGAGGGCGTGCGGTGAGCGGGGACGCGTGCCGGTCAGCGCCAACATTCCTCGTTTCCCTGGTTTGGTCGGGTCGGTGCCCGCCCGGCGCGGCTGCCCGCGCCGGGCGGGCATGTCAGCTTTAACCTGGCGTAGTGATATAGCGGGCGTCGGCCAGCCTGCCGCGGCTCCTGGTTTGGGCGGGGCTCGTCCGGCGCCGCCGACCGCCGCCGCCGGCACTGTTCGCCTCCGCCGCGGAGCCGGACGTGTGACGTCACGGGGTGGGGGGTGGTGACGTCAGCCGGGCTCCGCCGCCGTTCCATGTGCTTTTTATGGTGATTATTCTCAAAATAAATGGTTACCAAAGACAGTGGCGTGGTGTTAGTGGCTGGTTGGATGGCATTGCAACTCAGTGGGTGGAATTCTGTCATTACGCAGCTTACAGTTGAGATTGCCTCGGAGATGAGAACTGTTGATGTTTTGGGGTGGTATATGGCAACGAATTGGTAGCATATAAACGTGGAAGTTCCTGGGATGGCTCTACCTACAATCGGCTATGCTTAGATGAGTTTGTAAGGGGATTTTGCGCTTGTAGGGCATTGGTCTATCAATGTCAATTACCTGAACACTTATTATCTGAGAGCTATTCAAGGCTGTTGATCAAACTTGGAGTTTCACCCAGCACAATGCGACCCAGAGACATCACGTGAGAGCGGACAAAAGGCAAATGCCCTTGGTGTTAGAAGGGTGTTGAACTGTCGGAATCAAGGGCGTTTTGCGTGTACATCGTGAAAGAAAAAAATACAGAGCCCAGGCGTTGCAGCCCCCATGGGCCACGCGGCGTCAACCTTGCAGCTAGCGCCCGGCGGCAGTCAACGGGCGGGTCAAACTACCGCGTATCGGAAGATGGTACTGATGCTTTATGAAATCAACTGGTATTTCTGTCGAAGGGATCCCGGGCCTTAGGTTTCACCTGTGCGATTGTCAGATTGATCATCGGGACGGATTAGCGCGTACAGCACCACGAACTCGGGCGCGATGGCGTACTTAATGTTGCTCGTGTTGCAACTGATAATTCCGTTCAGTGAATCAACTTCTGAATCGCACGTGCAAAATTTTGCGGCCAGAAGGTGGAGGACATTCCAGTTCAGCCGGGATCCCTGGCGGCTGCAGTTCTGGCGGCGTGGGACGGTAGCGCTCTGGGCGATACGGAGGGCCCCCAGAGAGATATATCACGCACTGGTCCCTCCCTGATGCGGCACGCTCTCTGACGGAGACAGTTGGTGCGGGGTCGACGCATGGGCTCTCACTGATGCAAAATAATTATTTACCACGCGCAGGGAGTCCAACAATTGCTACGGAGACACCAATCGGACTTTCGGTCCTTGGTTGAAACGGTGCGTAGGACCTTTCGCTCGATATTGGGGCCTCTGACCAACACAGGGCATTTCAGCTGTCTAATTGTATATGGAAACCAATGCATCATCATATCTATATCTCCTTTCATTGCTAACAGGGCCGTGACCAGCGCAAGATGTTCTCTTAATATGTGGGTTCCTGTCCCTGTTCCTGTTCAGCAAACGTGTCCTTGGCCGACCTGCGGCTCGTTGCCGACACGGGGTACCTTGTTAGGCACTGTAAGCCCTGACCAGCGCAGGAATCCCTTCACTGTTTCAGGAGCCTTGATCGATGTAAGAGGCCTTCTGATTGGCATCTGCAGGCCAACGCTTTGCCCTGCTTGGGCAAAGCGCCCTAGGGCTCACAGCGGCACCGAACCGACCTTTATATGGACGCTCTCACTCTCCCAGGGGCCTTTCAATCGGTCCCGGAGATTCTCCGGCACATTTAACGATTCGGCTTTCTGACTGGGTCTGTTCATATGACCTACGGCCTGCCCTCAGGGCCCTTCAATCGGGTCATTGACCGTCAGCCTCAAGAGGTTATGGGCGGGCAGTCCTAAAGGTAGGGATCAGGGCAGGCAGCCTCAGAGGTAGAGATCAAGGCAGGCAGCCCCAAAGGCAGGGATGGGGGAGGTAGTCCCAGAGGCAGGGATCAGGAGAGGCAGTCCGGGAGGCAGGAAGCAGCCATCCCATGTCTTCAAATCTGCACAGCGGATCATGACAGGATATGTCGGGAATTTAGATAGCGTAGTTTTTCGGCACTAACATTACCACAGCGTTATACCATAGCGAGAAATGCGCATGTCACTTGGCCAGATCGGATGCAATCAGTTGGCGTAGTTTTGGATGTAGTGTTTTTGTTCCCCTTCCTCCTCTGCCCCTTTTTCCTGACCCCTTCCTTCTTCTTAGCTGTTCAGTCCCCTCCCCAACTCATTTTGTGAAGCGACGTCCGGACGAAAAGTTGACTCGCCATTTGTCGACCGAGTTTTTACCAACTGCTGTACTAGTCAGCTTTTTACCAACCGCTGTACTAGTCGAGTCGGCTAATTGGCAAACTTCAAATTGCGAACATGCGAGATGACAAGATGGCGACGTGCCAAAACGTCAACGTCCGAAAATGACGAGTAACTGAATGGCGTATCTCAAAATGACTTCGTACCAAAATGCAGACACGCCAGAACGGCAAGCGGCTAAAATGCAAACTTTTAAAGGGTCTTGCAAGACCAAGTAGCGGCATACGCAAATGGAGACTTGCCAAAATGACGAAAAGCTAATTGGCGACAACAAAGCTGTATGTGAGACACCATCGTTTTCTCTATGGCGGCATGGAAGATCTCGGCGGCCAGGGCGACCCTCTGTACCGAAAAACTGCTCCTGCTTATGTCCTTCTGCGGCAGATGAGTAATGGGAAATGTTGTCCTTATCTTCGTCTGATATTCTACAGCGGTTAGCTTCGAAGATATCTGCCCCGTAAGGTATGACATCAGTGAAAGGCTGCCGAAGTGATATGACGTCATAAAGAGCTCGGCTGGCGCTGATGCGCCACGGCGATAAACACGGCAGAAAAAAGTCTCACGACTTTTGGCTGTCAGTTCCCGAACCTTTGAGATCTGAGCCTGAAGGTCGAATGCTGCCCGCAGTGAACCACCTTGCAAATGCCCGCCAGAATGCATGACCCCAGTGCGGTATAATAGCAAGTGGCTCCAAAGGGCGATAGATGGGCCTCGAGTCTGTGAAACGCCTATTCTGGCCTGTAAAGGACCTATTCTGACTGATGGAGGATGCATTATGGACCGTGGAGAGCCCATTCTGGCCTGTAGAGGGGTCATTCCGGCCTGTAGAGCCCATTCTGGCCTAACGAGGGCCCATTCTTGGCCCGTAAAGGTCTCATTCTGACCTGCAGTGACCCCATTCTAATCCGTAGAGGGCCCATTATTGACTGCCGAGATATATTTTATCCTGCAGAGGATCCATTCTTACCCATATGATCTTATTTCACTTAATTTTGGTCTTTACTCTCTTATCCCAAGGGGCGGGCATTTTAGCATTTTTTAGCCTGCTCATCCCGACTTGACCATAGATCCCGCGCCCCTGCCTTCGGTGTTTGTACTTAAAAATTGCCTCGTTGAACCATCGGCCGATGCCCATCTATCTGGCTATGTGTTCCTTTAATTAGGTGAAACACCCCGTTAGATATGTTTCACGAATGGTTTTGACCACCTAAATATCAACGGCCCTTGGAGTCTTTAGCCAGATTGATAATGATCTGTCGGTGGTTCGCTGAGGCGATTTTGAAGAGGGCGTAGGGCTGGCCAATAGACATAATCCTTAGATTATCTCCAACTTGCCTTGTAGGCAAGCCAGGTGATTCCTCTGCGCATTTGTGCTTCTGAATTATAGAGAGTTTTCGGATGATGTTTCGCCTGTTTATGCTTTCGTTTTTTGAAGGAGATATTTGTTGGTGAAGGGAATTCCCTAACATTCCCGATTTACACGCGTCTAAAAGAAACCATCACATGTCTTCAAATCTGCTGACATTCTCCTAATCTGGCAACCGTGAACAACCAATAATCGCGTCCCAAGCCCATCGGTGACGTGATCTTCGCCAATGTGTGTTCCGTTACTGCCGCTAGCAGTCAGCTGATTCTGCTCCGAGAGCCACGAGCAGTCGGAGAAACATGGAGGCGGTGTGCGCCCGGGTGTCTGCGCTCCTGCCAGACGATGTCAATACCTGGCTGGAAACCGCCTGGGGTTATCGTGCCACTCGCATTCTGGTCGGGCTGGCGCTGCTCCGGGTTGGCCTGAAGTTGTACAGCACTCACGTTCGTAGGCGACGCAGGTCAGTTACGCAACGCCCATGACGTCATTAAGTCGATCTGGATGGCTCTCTATCCCATTGGGCCACGGCAAGTCTGGCCTCTGGTTAGATTTCCTGGAAAGCGTGGACTTGAGCGGCCGAGCGAGCGCCACCTGTGGTTGTGTGCACGTCTGTCGCCATTCATAAGCGCGTCGATGTCGCTGACTTTAAAGCGATCTAAGCGCTGCTGTCCCCTCCCTGAGTCTTGTGTCAATGGGGCTATACGTCGCCTTCAGCTGCTGAGGCTATATGGCGTTGCCTGCCTCTCACCCTGGCAGGAAGGGCGGGCACCGCGGGGAATCGAACCCCGTACCTCTGGTTTCCCAGACGCTCAGTGGCTGACGCAGACGCGTTAACCACTACACTACCGGCACCCCCTTGAGTCTTATGGTGTTCAGATTATCTTCACTGGCGATCTCACAATTCTTTGCACCTCCAGTTTCTTTGCCTCCGAAGCAATATTTCTCCTTATCTACTCTGTTTAATGCCTCGACCACCAGTAAGTACTACATAAAAGTGCGCTACCTGGCGCATCGTGCGCGAAGTGATAATAAAACAACGAAGACGGGTGTTTTTTTCATCTGCTGTACGCCTTGCTGCTTAGTGCTTTATCTCTTCAACCTCTGTGTCCCCTTGCATGCCTTTCTTTGCCATTTCCATCAATTTGTGCGCGCCCTGCAATGGGCCCTCCCCCAGCTAAATTCGGCACGCACTTCACTTCTCTATGTTACACTTCTTTGGCGCCGCTTGCGCTCTCGTCGCGCATGACTTGGCGTCCAGGGTTAACCGTGCCCCCCCCCCCCCCTCCCCGCGGCAGGTGTCGCGACATGCCGTTCACCCGTCGGAGACCGGTGTGGATTGGGGAGAGTGACACGGGGGCCGCCGCGGTCTGGTTCTCGCACCAACAGCTGATTTTCTATAGTTTTTGTCGTAGTGGCGGTCCCATCAACATTTTCTATAGTTTTTGTCGTATTTTCTATAGTTTTTGTC